AAATCAATTCATTTGCACCGTAGGTGTGTTCGTGTGTTACATTATTTTTGCTTGTGTCATAAAAATGATTATATTATTGTAGATCAACGTGATTCTTAAGACTTTGTCGAAATCAATTGTAACTACTTCGGTATATTCCTGGTGAATATCAAAAATAACAGAATTAATTTAATTGTAGAGATTTTCATATGTTAAAAACAAAACTACCTTGAAAAAAAATATTCATAAAAAACATAGTTTGTAAATGTAAAAACCTTTATTTATTTTCTAATTAGATAATTGTTTTTAATTCACTGTCATACACATTACTGCATAGAAATATCTTTAGTTGGTTATTGGGAGCAGCAAAAATTAAAAATTCAAAAGTATAAGTTTTAATATTTAATTTAACAAATTTTAGACGAGTACATGCATGAATATATATTATTATCAAAATAATTAAAGTGTACTTAAAGTAAAATTGGTATTTAAGCAAAAGTAACTAACTTAACCTAATCTAATCTAATTAATTTTCCTAATTTATGATAAAATTTATGAATATTCGTAATCCTTTTGCATTCTATAAAACAATAATAGTCTTCTATACGTATGAATATAATTTATTTTGTTGATTTTATTGTTTATCATATTTGGTTATCTATTTTAAGTATTTTTTTTTTTTAAATATTTAGAAGATTGCTGCTGTTATTATTATTTCCGAAGTATAAAAATATTTATATATTCTTGTTTAAGTTTTACATATATGCAGAGAAAAAAAGTTATATTGCTAAAACATAAACATAAGATCTTAACATGTAAATATTTGACATTTACGTCTTAAAATAAGTACTAGGTGCCATTTTTAACTTTAATTCTTCTACTGGGTGTTAATTGAATTTTATCGCAACTGAAAAATTATTTAAAATATTAATATTGGATTGCTTTAAAGATTAAAAATCAAATAATTAATATAAACGAAAAAACATTTGCATTAAAAAAACGTCATCAATTTTTTTTGTTTCAAACTAAAATCGTATTAAAAACTGACTAACAGTGTACATAAACGCGTCATAAATAGATTGTGATACTTTTTTACTGCCATGTAAAATACGAGTATTACGTGTTATTATCAAGGAGAAGTACGTTATACACTTGAGCGTTTCGGTATTATTTTTCAAGAGTTTCGTTACGTAGATCACATCAAATAATCACTACAGTTGAATATTAATATAATCACTGTACAACGGAAAAAATATTTTAACTTCAATGGTATCATTACTTGAAAAATACACAAAGTAATTTTTATAATAGAAAGGCTAATAGGTGGCATCTGGAGAAATTTAAAACTTTCGATATTTTTTTAACCATCGTGATACACCGATGTATCGTGAGATAAGTCTAAGTGTGTGTGAACAGGTATATTAAATGACAAAATATAAATTTATATTTGATATAATGAAGCGTTTGCATAATTTATATCGCTTAAGACTTACGACTTTTAAGAATTCTGATTCGATTGATTGTTATTAAAATCAAATATTCTTACACGAGTAGTTATTATTTTAAATATGATTTTAGTTTGACCTTAAATTTATTTTTTTTGACGGCGAATCGCAAGATAAAAATTTTTTGAATGTGTGTCGCAGTAACCATTGAAAAATGCTGTTTAAACATTTGGAGTGCTACGAGTTTGCGATTCGATTGACCGATTTTGTGTGGCTTACCATTTCTAAAAATCTAAAACGTACTTTTTAAACACCGACACAAATAATAATTAATAGGTTTTAGAAAACTGTGTTTGAGCACAGGAGTTTTTCAGTTTTATTCTTAAATGTCATTGTGACGAAAAGGTGATGAGAAGATTTAATTTTTTCATCGGGAGATGTCAATAATTTATATCTTTAACGTTCATCCAGATTTTGAACCATTAATAGTTAATGATTTTATGATATTATATCATACTCGATATTTTTCTGGTAGTAATAAACTTTTTAAAAATATTTGAATATTGTTTCATAATATCAATGCTTGTTCATAAACTGTTAGCAAATGACTCTTAAAATTATTATTTCAATAACTATTGTGCCATTATTGATATTATTTTCAATGAGTATACTACAAATGAAATTAACTAAATCCGTGAGGTAACTTGAGTAACTGTTATAGTTTATAATCTTGAAACTGGTATTCATATACTGCAGGGTTTGGATAACACGATACTTTCTAAACATTTTAGTAGGGATAACAATTTGGCCATTCAGATTTAATTTAATTATTTATGGAATATTTCTCTAAAAAACTAAATTACATTTAACTTTAAACTTTAATTTAATATAGCCTAAATCTATTCAGACAATATAATTTGGTTGATAGAAAGCATAATTTGGCAGATAGAAAAAAATTACAAATTTATTGTTTGAATTCAATCAGTGTCTTAACGGATGCAAATTTTTAGTTACTGAATATTGTGTACTCGGTTTATTCAAATTTTTAATAACGATTAAGAATCGTTCGATACGACATAATTTTTGATGCGTAACCAAAAAATTTGTGAAAATACTTTTCGGTATATATTTAAGATTATTCATCCGTTTTGAAAGTAAAAAACTCAAGTTTTATAATAATGGATTAACGTAGTTGACGTAGTGCTCGCAAAATCTGCATAAATTTACAAGAAATCCTTTTCTTTCCTATAACTATAATTATAAGAAATCCTATAATCTATAACTAATAATTTGGTTTTAAACAATATTATGCCAATTACTTAACCAGGAGAAAAAATAGTTGTTCACATTTGATACGAAAACCATGTGGCTAAGCAGAAATTGAACCCTGATGCAACTACAAGTCCCGAACCTTTCAATCGGATAGCGCGTATTGGAGTTCAATAATGGATGGTTTACTCATTCAATTTCCGTCCAGTGTTACGTTGAAAATCGTCGAATACTGTTAAACAGTTGCCTCGTTCGAATGTCAAATTTAAATGATAACCGATTTCGCTATCATCAACCACGTTCGGTCGGCGTGAAGTTACAAAAAATTAGTTTTTACTTTTTAAACCGAAAACCCCAAAAGTGGACGCTAAATGTCATGCCATTGAATATTGCAGTGGGGCTCATAGTTTTGAGGAACATACTTATGATTGCGTGTGAATAAATTTCTTAAAGGTTAGAGTGGCTTAATTATAAATCGGTATGTTGGACTTGTTAACACTTGACGCGATGAGCGTTTGATATTGTAATATAGTGCTGTTTCCGTTGGAATACCATCGAACCACGAACAAATATCGACGTCATAAAAATGACAGGTAAAAATATGTTTCAATAGATTTGATTAAAAAAAAAAAAAAAAAAAAAAAAAACATCTATATTTTAGCTTTTGCGCCGATGGAAATATGGGTGGTTGAATCCTATTGGATAACAAAGTGCGAAACCGTATTGATATCGACTACAATAAATACGTTATGCCGCGTGTAAAATAAAAAATAAATTTGAACAAAAATACATTCACATAAGCTCATCCTCACTCAGCAACCCTCTCACACGCGAGCACACCCGTTTGCAAATATATTATTCGAACACAACCACTATGAATTTATTATCTAAAATTCCATTTTCGGGAGTTTAAATATCACTATATCACTGAATAAAGTTGGAACGATACGCGAGAAACAGTTGTATGCTATTTGCAAAACAAATTTAGATTTGTTACTAAATTTACTCGCGCGATCTCGACATTGGAAACATTTCATCATAATTAATGAAAAATATTCAGGTTACCTAGTTTATAGCAAATATACGTTACATAAAAAATATGATAGAAAAATATTATCATTAGAACAATTCAATCAAAAATGATTCCCGACATCAATACATAACGAGCATAATTTATCAGTATAGTGATTACAATATTTGTATTTTAAATTCTCCTGAGTTTTTTAAAATAGCCGTGAATCATTGTTAACTTGTACAGGTGTATTTGGATACTTTTGACGACGATGCCTCGATAATGTGCATAGCAACATACTCACTCGGGTAAACGAATCGAGAGCAGGTGTAATGCCCAGATGTGATTCATTGTGATTAAACGCGAACGAATCGTGCATGTGTGGTTGTTTCAACATCGTACACGAAACTAAAATTAACGATATTAAAAGTGCACTTTGCTTTATACAGCAACAACGCGACCAAAATTCGATTACGTTGTCTAACCAACACACTCAGTGAACGATACCAATCTAGCGGTGACCTGTAAAAACGCTTTCAGCGGAGATTTTCAACTTCTTTATGTAGAAATAAAAAAAAAAAAGACCCCATCAACCGCTCTTCTTTCCCTTCAAACCAAATGATTTTTCTCGTTTGAGTGGAGTATCGGAGCCAAACCAAACATCAATTAAAAACGGAATATTTTATCGCATAAAACCGTCGTAACGCCGCTTGCAGATGGCAAACGGTGGATGTTTGCGCCGACACTTTTTTGCCGTGACGAAGTTGTGAAAATGATAGCGGATACGATCCCGCCACGTTCACATGCGTAAAACCGTGTAAATAATTGCGGTGAAAAGGTACGAACAGAAAAAGGTCGGCGGTGACCAGCGGTCGTGATGAATACATCGCCGTTGACAAATATGACGTGGCAATAATTATTTTTTTCATATTTTTTTTCGTCATTCTTGACCGTATATGTGCACCGACAGAGTTACATGGTGATAGTTAACTACTTTTCTACACTATGTTTTTTATATTTTGTTTTTACACCTCTTTTTCTTTCTCTTTATTCTATTTTTAATTTTTTTTTACCTCCTCCTCCGCACAAATAACATTAAATAATAATAAAAGCTACCCTCCCGCGTCGTACAGGAGACGCACAAAATATCGCTGACACGTCACTTTTCATCCGGTAACCACGCGCGTGCACCACGGTTGACCTGCAGCGATCCGTAGGCTAACACGGAACAATAATAGCGGTTTCACGTAGTTAGCGAAATAACGTCAAAATACGACACCATCGTACGTACGTACCTCTTGTCGACCGTTGGCAGTGGAGAGTCGGATCCGCTACGAGTGGAACACTAAACACGACCGAAGAGCCGAACGCCCTCGTCTGACGGTAATATTGTCTTTTTGCTTCGAATCTGCAACACAAAATCGTACGATGTATGATGATACGAACGAATCGTATGGAACACGTACGAATTATGATTGTACTCGGACCTGGGCACCGGTTATTGAACGGTTATTTTTTTAGAATTCGTTCGTTTTTAACGTTCCCTCATAAGTCAATAACCGCAGGTCACACCTGTAAGAGATTGGTAATAGCGTTTTGTTTTAAATCATTATTAAGAAAATTATATAGAAACAAACGTATATTTTAAACATATCAGTTGGATTAGAAAATGATGCATTAAACCGTTTAATAAATTACACATACGGTTTGCTTCAACTTAATATATTAATTGGTATTTTTCAATAGTTAATGAATGTTTAAAAAATGAATAGTTCACAATTATTTCGGAAGTGACAAACGCATAAACCATAAAATTTAGATAGTCATTACTCGAAAAATATAGCCTTCATTTATGATTTTTCGTAAGTAATAATTTTTATGATTTATATTTTTCAATACAATATCGATTATTATTATTCATTTTTATTCATTTTTTTTTTAATATTTTTATTTTTATTTTTATTTTTTTTTTTTTTTTTTTTTTTTTTTTTTTTTTTTTTTTTTTTTTTTTTTTTTTTTTTTTTTTTTTTTTTTTTTTTTTTTTTTTTTTTTTTTTTTGTGTAAATATACTCGTAACATATTATATAATATTATATCTACTAGTGATTAAATATAAAATATAATTTCATACAATAAACAATAATAATACAAGATATTGCTAACAGAAGTTACGAAACTATAATCGTTATTTTGTATACGACTATTTCGTGTTCGGAGTAATATAACATATAAAATATAAAATACATTTAACAATGATTAATAGTTACCGATTTTAATTGCCCTCAAATAATATTCTTTAGGTTATTAATTATTAAAGGATAAAATGGTTATATCAGTATACACCAGTTATCATGAACCCACAAAAAATATAAATTTTAAATTAAAAATTACAGCTTATACTTAAAAATACATAGTTTATAAAAGAAAATGAAGAGGATGAAAACTGTAGAAAAAAATATTTCTCTTTCTATTATTAATAAACATTGAGTGTATCACAGTTGAACGAAAATGGCTTGTAATTATAAATTCAGGAATGTTATTTATTCTATATTATAGTATGCTAATACAAAATTAATATTCATATTGATGCTCCTAAAATTGATTTAAAACACGTTTTGAAGGATAAAAATATTTGTTAGCAACTACCATTTCAAATTTTTTTCTTGTATATTTTCTTTATTAAAAAGACTTGATTTATACTATTTATTTATCTGAATACTTGTCAGTGATCGATTTTCATTGAGCTTGACATTTTATCAATAATAAACGATAATATATAGTTTAAATGTCAGTACCTTAAAAAAGACTGAAGTCCAAAGTCTAATAAAAAAATTTTAGTGAGACCGAGTGCGCCACTGTTGTATTATTATAAAGTTGACTGATAAGACATGGTTTTTTCGATAATATTTTAGTTTTTATTGAAATTTGTTGAAGTTTTATTGGTTTCAAATTATTTGAAATGCATGTTATATTTTCATATAAAATATAATTTATTTGAAATCTTTATTATATACTTTGATTGACAATGTAAGTATTGACATTTAGCATTTATGTTTGTGATGGCTTTGTATAGACTACATGATGCTGTCAGCACTAATTTTTTTCACTCAAATTCAGTATGAAAAGAACAATGCGTATTTCAATGTTACACATCACAGTTTAATAATAGGTGATGTTAATATTTACATCATTATTAATAATCATTATCATTCATAATAAATAAATAAATTCTTTTGATTTGGAAGCCATTGTAATTGTTATAAAATTCAGAATGGGAATAATTAATCATAACTTTTGGTTACGATTGCTATAATTGTCACATTAATGTTATTTGTTTTTAGAATGCATTTGATTTATAGAAAAAATAAAATTATAAAAGCATTTAACACAAAAGGAAAATTGACATTTATTGTTAATTCGTTTTAACATACATACATTACAATATATTATTATATTATTATTATTATTATTATTATTATTATTATTATTAATATTATTATTATTATATATTTGTATATTTCATTTCAAATTTTATTATTTTTTAATGTATTTCAAAAAATTTATTAATTTCTCGAAGTTTCAAAATTTAATTCCTATAGTTAATGTATTGTTTTGAACACTTTATAATATTTTTTATTTCTCAAAGGCTTTTTCTAATAAAATATATTCATCACCAAAAAATGTTTGCAAATAAAACTCGAGTAAATAAAATTATAATAAGACATATTCATTTTTTTTATAATTACTTAAAAAAATTGAAATGCAATAATCTTTATTTTGATAGTTTTTCAAATAAAATGCTCGAACATTTTTTTTAAAACATTTAAGTTTATTTTCGTTTAATTTGGTTAAAGGTTCTGATGCTAAATAAATGAAACGAGTGTATATTCAATCAAATATATTGATCTATTTTTCCTATAAACTATTTATTAACTATATACTCAATTTATAGAAGTATTCAAATACTGAATAAAGTTAAAACAAAATTAAGTCAACTATATCGAGCAAAAATTATTTATTTATCATTTATTCAAACCATCGCGTTTTAAATCGTTCCGATCGCGTTTTAAATCGCACTAAACGTTTTAAAATATATAACCATTATTGTGACTAAATTTTTTCAAATTTTGTTGCCCGCTTAACAAGATAGAATTATCTAATCCATTAATGTCTTTCTGAAGATATTAGAACTTTCGAAATCAATTGCGTATGGCAAGAGACAGACAAGACAGTTTGATATTTCGATTTGGTACGACTCTCGTGAAACGGGGATGCTGAAGTATCGCAAATAGACGAAATTCTATAGTTAGAAAGCATCTTTGTCGTTCAATCCCTGAGTTTCTAATAAAAAGTGACGCGGACCCGTGCGGCAGCCGTTACTGAAACGACCGTCGCCGACCGTGCCCTTATCTCTCTCATCAACCACCACTCCGCGGCACACAACGTCGCAGCGACACCCCGTCCTCCCATCCATCACCGGACAGGGGACGCGAGCGGTCTCTACGACGTCCGACAGGTACCACAATCTGAACCGTGCTGTTTTTCCGAGACCGTGTAACGAGACACAGCTCCACTTTCTAAATTAATTTAAATTAATACTCATAATGTTTAATTAATAATGTGACAATATTAACCATACATTTATTTTATGTTAATTTGAAATGTGCAATTTAACTTGGCTATAATCGTTTTATGCAATAGTCTATTATTGGTATCATACTTAAAATATACATCTTGCATAATAGTCCTTACTCATATACAGGGTATTTATTTTTTCAGTAAAATATACGGATGTAGAGTATACAATTTATTTAGTCTTATAATTTTCTAACATTATTAATCTAATAAGAACTATGATTACATTTCAATGTATAATTTGCATAAGTATTTTATTTTAATTCAATACTTGTAAATCAATAAATTATTAAATTAATATTTAAATATTTGCATAATTTGCATTAGTATTTTATTTTAGTTCAATACTTGTAAATCAATAAATTATTAAATTAATATTTAAATATTTTATTCTAACTGATGATATTCGTTCAAAGCGTTACCAGAAGAATTGTATAAATTATTATTTTATACTGATGTATTAGAGTCATAGAACATATTTTTTAGACAAACAATCTAATCAGAATCTACCAGATTAAATCTTTGGTCATAGCTGTACTAGAATTCTTCTCAAATAAAACTTTTTCTGATACAACGAAACAATACAAAACACTTTGACGATATATTAAATTTTGTTAGAGCTCGTTTGATTAAAATGTTTAGCATATTCGAATGAAGGTCGTTACATTAACAGCACAGTGGCAAATTTAATAAATATATGTCAACCACAATTTTAGCAAACATATTATGGTAGATTTAAAATTTAAAAACCATTGACATTGAGTTTTGCTGTTTTTAATTTAACTTTATACATATTGTTCCTGTGTCTGTTACCGAAACATTAGTAGGAAATTAATTTTTTTTTCCGTTACCGGAAATATTGAGTTCAAAAAATCACATTCCGTGGCTCAAGCACATTAAACCGCTCAGCCTGTTTTTATTCTCGACACGAACACCGTGATCTACAACTTATTGTAAGCTCGTTGATTGTTTAACCGAACCGTGATTTACAGATATAAAATAACGAATGGGCCTATTATTTTTTTCCACGAAATGTCCTCGCGGCCTATTGTAATTGAGAATAATAATATGCCATTCACTTGCGTACGTCGTATACATTTAATATATATATATATATATATATAATACATAATACGTGCGCACGGTTACACGCAAATATTATCACTGTTTAATGCATTATTTGATGACTTATAAGTAGCACATTCCAATGGTCATTATAATAATATATTGACCGAAAATCCATTTCATCAATTGATTTTTTAACGTTGTTATTATACTGTCGATAAGTGTTTAGCGTTTCGGGGCTGTTCAAATAATATATCCATAAAATATACAATACAGGGTATAATAATAATGCACAGTGATTTTTAAGCAAGTTATTCCCTTTTTGCGGAAAAAATGCGTATTATGTATAAGACTACAGTGCAGTAGCCAATGAAAAGAGCACTGACCTCAAAATATCTTTTTTTTTATTTTTTTTTTTTTTAAGAGCTTTACTATGTTACTTCTAGTATATATAACATTGACATTTTTTTCTATATTGCCAGTTACAACCGAGTTGGATGAAATATTTTTTTTTACTCTTAAGCGTATAAAATTTAACCTAAGAAATTCAACTTGTGAAGATAGATTCAATGGCCAGGCACTAATAAATATACATATAAATATATACTGAGATATAAATTTAGACATAGAATCAATAGTAGGTGATTTTTCTAACATAAAAGTTTATAAAATTGTTTTACATATATATATTATATGTATTATATATAT